GAAATGATAGACCCAGACCAAACAGGGTTTGTCCGAGAAAGACAAACACAGGACAATATTAGACGAACACTCCATGTGGTGGACTATGTGATCAAGGGAAATATTAGTGTAACACTGATCAGTTTAGATGCAGAGAAAGCATTTGATTCAGTTGGATGGGGCTACCTTTACCAAGTACTGCAACATTTTGACTTTAATGAAAAAGCTGTTCCGTGTATTAGATCACTCTATTCAAACCCCACTGCTAGGATAAGAATCAATGGTCACCTAACTCAATCCATCAAGCTAGAGAGAGGTTGTCGTGAAGGCTGCCCACTAAGCCCCGCCCTCTTTGCGCTCCTCATAGAGCCCTTAGCTCAGGGAATAAGGCAGGACCCAGAAATTAAAGGGATTTCAATTGGAGATAATGAATACAAGATAAGTCTGTTTGCAGATGATATATTGCTCACTTTGACTGACTTACAGAGAAGTGCACCTAAACTGATGTCCCTTTTGAGACTGTTTGGCTCTTATAATTTCACACCGAATACTGACTTGAAAGGCAGATTTGATTTTAAATGGGACACCCCTGCTATTAAAAATCTGGGAGTCTGAATCCCAAAAGACATCTCCAAAATATATAAGGCGAATTATGATCCATTTATTAAGACAATCAAGGCAGATCTAGATAGATGGACTGTACTGCCCCTAGACATGTCTAATAGAAACGATAAAAATGAATGTCCTTCCCCGGCTTCTGTACTTATTCCAGTCACTTCCTGTAGAGGTCCCCCCTAAGGATTTTAGGGAATGGAATAGAATGATATCAAGATTTGTCTGGAACAGTAAGAGGCCCTGAATTAAATATAAGATCTTGCAGTTACCCAATGAAGGTGGACTTTCTCTACCATGTATAGAGGACTATTATATTGCTGCCCAGCTAAGACCCCTAGTTTGCTGGTGTAATCCAAACTACTCTGCCAAATGGAAAAGATTATTATTTTGACAGAGATAGCTGGAGAAAGACAGGAAACGGGGGCAGAGAGAGAGGGGACGACATGCAGCAAAGGGCCGCAGGTCAGACTTGAACCGGGGCCGCTGCGTATATGGGTCGCCAGCTCTACCGACTGAGCTAACCGGGTGCCCTGGAAAGTTTTGGAAATAGCGCAATCTGA